GTGTGAGAGAGAGACATCCTACGCAGAAGAGTCTAACACACACGGAGGATTAAGGATTTGATTTAGGCAGTGTCATCATCATTCTACGTTCACGTGGTGACACAGCAAATAGGGGGATAATTGGTCACAGATGTGGATAAAAAAGGAGGCCACTGCTCAGAGCTCTTACTGGTATGTTACTGATGTTGCGTAACGAGGACTGCAGGGTGCTCAGGGTGTCAGAGTTCTGCGGTGATGTGAAGAAACGTATCACTTCCTGTCTTCTGTGTAACACAGCCAGATCCTGTGTTGGTCGAAGAAACCACTGGCTGAGAGAAGAGGGGACATCACTTACATTTATGTTACTTCTATAAAGAAAACTAGTAGTAGTCTTCCAGGTGGTGATAATAACCAGAGTTAACTGCTGTATGTATGCAAAAAAAATAATGGTTGCGTGAAGAAAAATGGCACACAAATGTACATTCTCACAATAATCCTATAATGGAATTAATTAACAATAGAGCACCAAAAACAGATGATGTATTATGTTGGAAAAGCTGACATATTTATCTTGTTGCCATAGATACAAGCAGTGGTATGAAAACCTTGAAATTCCTGAGACAAAAACAAATCTTCCGCCTGAATCCCAAAACAGCAGTAAATATAAATTTGTAAATATATTACAAAACCCTTTTTTTATGCTTTGGCAGTGTTTGTCTCTAATGCTCCCAGCGTTCATAAGAATAAATCCACTTTCAATAATTAGTTGTGAATATTACATCGTCACTTTGACCAGAGAGTTATGATTAGATAATTGCTATCTTTCATGGATATAGAGCACTGCATTTCTGCTGTTATTAGATTAGCTACAAACAGTTTATCTGCCTATTAGTCGTAGTCATAATAGAAGTACCACAAGCACCACTGTTATACAGCATGGCGGTAAAGACATAAGTTTAGTTTAACTAGATACTGAGGACATGCTAAAAGAAATAACCTTTTCTAATAAAGGCCTAATATTCTCTTTCGGTGCAGTAAAGTTCCCTCGTTATTTTTGTTGTGTAACTGGACTCTAGCAAGAGGTGTTTCTGACCGTAGCAGTTTGGAGCCAAACTTGCACCTGCAGCGGTTCAGTATCCCTGTTACACACAGTAAGAACAATCATATAGACACAATTAGATAAGGCCGAGTGATGATGACTTGAACTGGTGTCTTCACAGCTTCTTACCATAAAGACTGAGTCCTTCCTTTTCACCTGAATGCAGTTTGTACACTGACGGGTGAAGTTCTGATTTGAAGATCTGCAGTACACTACAACAAATACAAAATCTATGGTGATCTCTCAGCCACACCTTGTCACTTGTTTGTTTTTGCCAGCCTCACCTAATAATAAATTTGATTTGAATACCACATTTTATACAATTTCATACATTATATGTATTTATTAACTTAAAATATTGTGTGTATCACAAACAAAAATAACAAATTAAAACAACAAACAAGAGAAAGAAACAACAGAAAATACAGACATAACAGAGCTATGGTTAAAAAATATATCAAATTAGCACCAGAGAGCAAAAGTAAAATGAAAGCTCATAGGTAAGCAAGTTGATAGAAAAATTCTTCTTTTACAAGTAATAGTTTAATTAATCTGTACTACAGCTGCACTGAAGGTTTTAGGAACAATTAATGTGAGTTTTGGGAGACTAGTGTCAGCTTTTAGGGACATACTGGTACATTGGACAAAGATAAATAATGTAATAGAGTCTAAGATAGGACACTCTTACCTGTAGGTGTCTCTGTCAATGCAAACAATGCCTTTACTATATTGGAAAGAAACAAAATACTTTAAGAGAAGCAGCATCTTTCATTCATAAAAACGTCATGAGACTGGAGTCTGGTTTACTGGTAGATAGAGATGTAGAGAAATAGAGAGAACAGAGAAAATATAATACAGTAAATGTATGATATTCTACTACAGTGCCACAAGTGCATGCCACTGCAGCCTGTTTGACTAAAATCTGTGTAGCTAAATACAGACCAGTACAAAATCACTCTTCATTGACAAAACTCATTATGAAAAATGTGCAATCACAGTCCTGTTAGTGTGTGTGAACATCTACATAAATGTGTGTCTTACAGTGTGTAGGCGTGGAACTGTAAGATAGGAACTCCAACACTGCTGTCTTCCAGCTCCACTCCCACTCTCCTCCTGTCCAGGCATTTCAGCAGAGCACCCATTGCCCTCAGCTACCCAACGGATGTATCCACACACACACACACACACACACACACACAAGACCACACAAAACACAAAAAACTGTTCACGATCCGCTCCTGCACAACGATGGACTGATTGATATGTAGACAGCTGGCTCACCATCAGGGGAGAGTCAAAGGAGATGCAGGAGGAGAGGTAGGACATTTTGTCTCTCTCTGAAATGGAGGCAGGAAGGAAAGGCAGATGGGCAGAAAGTAGCCTCTGCTTACCGACCTCCAGGCCTGCAACATTCAAACTTGTCTTCATTGCGGAAATTCATGCAGATTTAATGCAGAAATTATGCCTAAAAAATAATGAGGACATTTGGATGTGATGGGTGGGCGTATGTTTACCAAAGTCAACATATGGATAAGTAACCACCTCTGGTCTGTAGTCTGGGTTCGAACCTGGGATACAAAAGAGTGGAGTTTGACAAAAGAGAAGAGAAATTGTTTATTGAGTGAAAGAAAAAGCTATCAACAGTAGACACATGGCAGAATTGTGTAGTGTGTTCAGTAAAAGCCTTATAAAGCTGTGTAATATCGCTCTATCTTCTCCCTTATCACACTATCGGGCTGCAGTGTCAGGCAGACCTTATCTCGTTTCATTCCCTTGACCCAGAAACGACTAGTCTCAAACCATGAAAAAACAAAACTTTCTGTGACATCTTTCTGTTTCTTCCCACAGGCTACGATAATTTCTCCCAGCACTCACCAAGTTGTTGCAGGAAGCGTGTCATGCAGCGCTCCTGCTTTGCACTGGTGACTATTACATGGGGACAAACCTCCTGGATGACTAGACAACAGAAACAGAAGCAAAAGTGGCATTTTATATACATAATTGTAATTCCTGCACTGTTAATATTTGAATTACATAACAGGCTGTGTATTGTGTACCTCTGGCCAGCAGGTGGAGCTCGTAGTTGTCAGAAGTGTCTATCATGTAGTGTACAGAGGAGTCCTTACTATCGTAGAAGCAGAGGCCTATCTGTCCATGCTGGACTACAGCACTCAGTAAAACCTGGTAATAAACAAATACATACATATTTATATATAAAATAAATACTGTTAACTACTCTGCTGGTGACTCTGACCTATGACCTTACCGCAGGTGAGTCCTCCTCCTCCTCTTCATCTCCAATTATGCCTGGGGGACCAGAAGCTAACCCTCTTCCTCCTCCTCCTCCTCCTCCTCCTCCTCTCAGACTTTGCAGTGTTGCCATGACCAGTTAATTCTAGATATGAAAAGTCAAATGAAGATAGTAATTTAACCTCTCTAACGTTACATTAGTCATTTGACTATATTAAAAGTCAAAGTAAACTTTAGAAAACAAAAGCTTCAGCTAACTAGTGGGCTGTTGAGGTTAAATTAAACCTAAACAAAGCGGAGTTAGGTCCAAGTTAGAAAGTTGAGCTACTGTAAGCTAACTGTTAGCTACCTTGAACCAAAACGAACTAATATCTTTTATTATTGTCGCTCTTCATTTAGTCAACTAGCACATACTCACAGTTGAGTTTTGGACTTTGTATAATAAAGCTAACAGACCAGCAGTATCGTTGTCAGTCTGACTTACAGTCATAAGGAGCTGATTGATGTTTATTGTACAGTTATCGACGGTCTTGTCCCCTCTGTTGTCATGACAACAGTGTCCAGTAACCGCTCACATGGCTTTTAAAACGTTTGTGTTTACTTTCATGAATGTGTGAATTAACAAAGATTTAACACCGTTAACACATCAAACAGTGGACTAATAATAGTGTTTTGTGTTAGTAGTTTTGACTCTACACTTTGCTACACTTTCAGAGAGATATTATGTCTGACTCGACTGCTAAACGACAGTACAAACATTTTTTATTACATATTTTTATTCAGGTTTGTGCTCAGTGTTGAACCATAGTACTTAATACTTAATACCTCTAAAAGTAGCAGAATAGTCCATTACAAGTACACTTCCTGCATTTAAAACTTAACTTAGGTGAAAGTACAGAAGTCTCAGAAAAGTATAAAAGTAAACATAGTCATTATTCAGAATAGTTTAATATTGCAGCTGGTAGAAGGTCCTGCAAAATTAACTATTTTATACTGTTGAATAGTTTATAATACATAATATTTTAGAAAATAATGTTTAGTTTTTAAAATATTAGCACTCAAAGTACCTTAAAACTGTAAAATATGGTTCTTATAGTAGTGAATGTACTGATATTATTTAGCACTTTAATTTCAGGAATTTATCACTGATTTTCTTCCCCCTTATGATACTGATATTCAGTAAATATGTTCCCTTACTGGTAGAGTGTATATTTATAACACTTTAAAGCCTGGCCGTTGGGAAAAAAATGATAAATACTTTAATTAAAACGTTATTTAGCACTGTTGCAGGTGAGCTTGCAGCCAGGAATCTGACTCATCTTTGCTTCTGATGTATCTGCCCACACAGACGCTCATTTAAAGATACGACTGAATGTGAGCAGTTATCAATGAGCAATAGAGATCAATTCATACAGAGTTTTGTTTGGGAGTTATTAATGAGGAAAACTGTATTATGCCTTTTAACGCCTCATTAATAATGTTTTCTGAGTAACCTTGGTATCACTGTTTCTTCATAGTCATCATTTAATCTCCTACTACTGAACTGCCCTTGTCCTCCTTTCTTTAACATTCACCAAACAATTGAACCTGTAAAACAGAAATAATGACACAATCAAATTGAAATTGGAGTAATTTATTTTATACACAAAGAAAGAAACATTCAGAGCTTAAGACACTGATAGTCCCACAAAAATCCCCAAATGTCCTCTCTGTTCACTGTTGATGTTTTGAAACTAAACACAGTTTACAGATCTAAATATTCTGAGCGAACTATGTATATATTACTTTGCGATAAATAAGATGAATAATAAATAGAGTTGTACATAAGTTTTCATATAAAAAGGAACTCTTCTTTACATTCATGGTACAAAATCTTTCCTATTGTGTGTATATGTGCGCATTATTGACTAGAAAGCAGGTAGTGCTGGAGACGAGAGGGTAGAGGCAGTTTGTCCATTTGATTCTGCCTCTCGTGCCCTAAAAACTGACGAATTGACAGTCCACATAAAGCCATCAGGGCAGGGGGGTCACCTGGGAAGGCGAGAGAAAGAAAAAACTGTGTTATTGATGTTTTATAAGACCCAAACAGATCGAACTAAATCCGATTTGTGTAAAAAAAAAGATAAACTCACGTGTGGCACCGTTCAGGTATCGTAGTCGTATGCTGGCTCCACCTCTCACACTGCTCACTGCGGGGAACAGCTCCACACCACGAGGAAGGTCTTTAAAAGCTACACCGAGGAAGCTGCCGTCTACAATGAATCCCAGAGTCCCTGCGTCGGCGTCCAGGACCATCAGGATGCGCTCGGGGACGGGGAGAGGTGTCTGTGCCATCTTTGTGGAAGACTGTGGGCTAAAATCCTCCACAGCCTCAGAGTGACACCTCCTCTTCTTTCCTGGGTAAAGTCCCAGACTCTGTCCACCGTGCCAGAGCTGATTGGTTTTAAGCTCCCAGCCCCAGGACTGCGAGTCTCCACCCATCAGCACGTTGTACCCCGAGGCCTGCAGGGGGCAGTTCTGCCTGGAAATGCCCAAGACAGCGTGGCTGCCCCTGTGGTTGGGGCTCCACAGCACCTCCCACACGTGAAGCCCACTCTTCAACCCCATCTCCGCCCTCACGCCATCGCTGCTCCGCTCAACAGGTGAACGTGTCACTTCCTGTTTGCAGGCAGACAGCAGGAAGTGTGGCGAGCGGTGGACCGAGCTCCAGTGCGAGCGTCCGTCTCCTGGAGCAACCGGGGAGGAGTTGAGAATGACCGCGAGGCGAGAGGAGGTCGGGACAGCCAGCGGGGAGAAGGCTGATGAAGAGGAGGGAGGGCTGTCCTCTGCCCTGCTATACAACCTGACTGACAGTGAGAGACCCATCGGTTCAAACTGTGGCAAAAGTGTCGTCAGAGGAGAACTGTGGACAACAAAACACTAGTTAATACACTGGGAAATAATAAAACAATAATGAAGTGACTTTGTATCAACGTTTACATACAGTATGTAAGTTAAGTTATAATAAAGTGGTGTAGAGTAGAATAGGGTAAGGTAGACTAATAGATAAAGGAGAGAAGACTACAGTAGAGGATTATAAGTAAGGTAGAGTATAGAGAAGATAAACATGTATGTTAGAGTAGAGTGAAGTAAAAACAGAGGATAATAATGTGGAGTAGAGTACAGGAGAACAGGTAAAAGTAGACCAGAGTAAGGTAAGAAGTATCTTTACTTAAATAAAAGTAGCAGTACCACCAAAAATACTTGTCATCAAAACTGTATTTGGGTAAAAGTACGTAAGTAATATCAGCAACGTTTACTTAAAGTACAAATGTAAAAGAAAATACCCACTATTCAGACAAAATGGTCTCTGTCAGAGTTTTATTGTTAATTATTCCTGATGCACTAATATTAAAACAGCATTTTACTGTTGTTGGTGGTTTTAATTGACTGTATTTCATTGTATGTGCTGATTATATGTTTAAAAATAAATCTGCAAATTAACTATTAGCTGTCAGATACTTAGGTAGTTTAAAATTAAAGTATACAAGTGCCCAAAATTGAACTGAACTGAAGTACAGTACCTGAGTAAATGTAGAATAAGTTAAGATAGAGACAGACAAGAGAGAGTACAAGAGTAATATTACTACAACAACTAATAATAATAATAATAATAATAAATCCCCCACGTGCACACATTCAAATATGGCTCAGAGAAGGTCATTAAAAACAAATAATGTCTTTAAATCTTACCAGCTGTTGCTGAATGCTTCCCTGTGCTGGTACAACGCCGGCTGCGTGCAGACATCCTGCGTGTGTGTGTATTTATAACAGCCTCTTATCAACATATCGTGCGTCTTATTTGATTGTGGGTTTTTGGGGACGACCTCCGAAACGGGAACAGCACAGTCCATCACTGCAGACTGACGCCACACAGAGCTGCATAGACAAGGACGACAGATCTCATGACGCGTTTGTGAAGTCATGAACATCAAACCACCGTTTTTATAATAAAAATAGAGATCACCAGACCCCAGAGAGGAGGGTCTCATTGTCTGTCCTTTATCTGGTTCTGTAGTGAATGTAAACATAAATGGCGAAGCACAAGAAGAGGATCAAACTCGGGCTTTTAAATAACAAGAAGAGGAAAATAAAATAGAACCCAAAGCGGCTCATTATTCCAGAGAGCGCATGCGCGTAACGAGGACCCGCAGCCCTGAATTGTGACTACAGACGATGTTGATGCGCTATTGTGGGTGGAAGAAGTACTCAGTTCCTATATTTAAAGGTACATTTAGGAGGATGCATTGGCAGCAGTGCCATACAGAATTCATTGGTATGTTTTCATTAGCGTATAATCAGAGACACTCCACAAGAAGAGATTTGAGATAACTAGATAAACAATTAACGTGTGTGATTAGATGTTTTCTTTCAGCATTATCATGTATCTTACTACCTTAAAGGTCCAGTGTGTAACATTTTGAAGGGTGCATTGGCAGAAATTGAAATATATATTCATAGGTATGTTTTCATTAGTGTAATAATCAGTTTTTGTTTGAGGCTGTTTTTATCTACAGAGGGAGCCCCGGTCTCTTCCACGGAGGCCGCCATATTGAACCGCCGTGTGGCTACAGTAGCCCAGAACAGACAAATACTGGCCCTTAATGGGGCCTTTTGCGAGCTTTGCGACCCCATTTGTTTCAAATGGTTGCAATCTGCAATTTTCTCCGTTCACCGATGCCACTGAATGGTACGCGTTGGTCTTCTAAACTAGTAATACTACAGTGTAAAAATACTACAAGTAAACGTGTTGCATTAAAAATCTTACATTAAACAATTTGCATCTAAATATACTTAAAATATCAAACGTAAAGGCAGAATGACCCATTTTAGAATCATGTATATTACCAGGATCATAATTAGTGATATTTCTATTCTTCTTTTTATTAATAAATTGTCTAGTTAGTTTTTTTTTCAATTAATTGATTCATTCTATCTAAGTAACATAACATTTCAGAAATGATTGAAATGTATTGAAAAATTCAAATGGAGTTTATCTCAAATCTTCAAATATCTTTTGTTAGACCAGTTGTTCATCACCCAAATATTTGTTTACTATCATTGAAGATAAGAGAAAATAGCAAATATTAACATTTGGAACCAGAAGGGATCATGGAGCCAAAAATGAAATGATTAATTAATGATCAAACCTGATGCCTCCAGTCGTTCAATTCCAGTAGTGAACTCCTGACAGCAAAAACAAACAACCCTTTCATATCTGTAACCCTACATTATACACAATACTGGCCCATTCCTGTTGGGAACTAAAATGAGCATTAAGAAAGTAAACCATTCAATCCCATGTAGTGTGAAATAGGAGAAGACAACCCATGCAGAATGGGTAATGCCCCACAACACAAGTCAGTTTTTGTTACTTTTGTTTTCAGCTTGTTTTCCCTTTCTGATTCTTACTCTCAATCTCTTTCCCTCCTTATATTTTTGGGGAGTATTAAACATGACTGTGTCCAATCTGTCCAGCCTTGTTGAGGACTACAACCCCGCAATGCCACTTCTCGTCTGTAAGACACTACGGACGGCTGCCATGCCCATTTAAACTAGTGTGGGAGAGCAGAGATAAAAGTGGGTCACAACATGTTATCTAATGTGTGTATGCACAGAAGAAATCCAGAGTGATTTTAAGTTTTTTCTGAGATTTAAAATTTTTATTCTTCAAATATTTTGAGTTTTTAGGCTTGTTAATCATGTGTATTATGAATGTTAGCTTTGTAGAGTTAACATGATGAGAATGAGTCATTTAAGGTTTCGTCAGCAGATTCCCGCACTGGGTTTGATCAGGGTCCTCATGTGAGTCCCCACTTGCTTCTCTGACTTCAGGTGTCCGTCCTGTATTTAAAACCAGTAGGACAGATTGATTATCGAGGCAGATAAATTAAACTCTTTAGGCAAACTGACATTTTAACTTACCTTGACCTTTTGGCACCAACACCCGCCCTGCAAACATCACAATACAGATTGTGTTTTACATATTATACAAAGATTGTTCCAATATATGCAGATGTTTCCGTCCCCAAGAAGTTTTTATTGGTTAGTTGATCAGGAGCAAGTGTTAAACTTTAAACATGAACTCGTAAAGCGAACTGATTTAGCTTGAGATGGTTTTGAAAACATCTGCACCAGGTAGATTTTCAGTCAGATACATCTAGCTGATATCATTTAGGCAAATTAAATTATTATTATTATTTTGATTTAATTTGATATGGTCTCTCACCAGGAGAATTCTTCTTGTAGTAAATCAGCCCAGTGACTAAAAAGACAGAACCCAGCAGCATCCCTGCTGTCCCAACAGCAATTTTATTCCTCTCTGACTCAGTCTTTGGGTCTGAAAGACAATCATCAGAAACACTACATTACTATACTGTGGCTTGTTAATAAACATAAACAATGCAACATATTTCCATTCACATTATATGACAATAATTATATTTTGCTAGTAAAGGGATATTTTAGCGTACGGAAACGTACTATTTACTTGAAAAAAAGGAAAAAACTCTTGCCCACACATACATGCCCAATCTTCAACAATAACGGTATTATGACCCTATATTTGACCTCTACAGTATATGACTTAAAGACAGGACTTATCTGCCAGATGTCTTTTAAACCAGATTCAAAGTAAAACTTGAATTGAACTAAACAAAGCTGGTATGTTTCGTTTTCGTTAAATCGAGCTCTCAATGAAAGGAATGAACATGAGTCTGTTGTTTCAAATGCTCTCTATAACTCAGAAAAAAAAATTGTCGAAAAAACAGAAAAAAATAAACATATTCAGAAATCAGAAGAAAATTACTCCGAAGAACAGACCAAAAATAACTATCAACGAATATACTCAGAAAAACAGAAAAATTACTCAGAAAAACAGACAAAAAAAAAAAACTCAGAAAAACACAAATAATTACTCCAAAAAACAAACCAAAAAATTAATTTTCAAGTGAATGCAATACTACACATATCTAAAATTTACCACAAGATATGCATGAGGTCTTAGAAATATTTCTCTGTGGTAATACTGTGTTCTCAAACAAAAGCCGCTAGTCAGATAAAAGCCTGGTCTCAAATAATGGCCTGGGGCCTGGTTAACACAGACAAATAAAGGCTGGGCCCAAACACAGGCTGGGAGAAAAAAACAAAGGTACAAAGGTGGATAAACTCCTGGTGCCTGTTACATGTGCATGCAAAGTTAGCATATTGTACATTTCAATTGCTTTAATTAAACAAATTAAGCAATGTAATTATTTAGTATTTTAGTATTATTGTACTAATTTAATCAGTGCGGGTGTTAATATCTAAGCCAAACTTTATTTCGTAGTATCATACAAGTGCCATCAGATGGCAGTAGCTACATTTGAAGTACCGTAATGGACCAGTCACTGAATCTTTTCACAATACGTTCCTGACGATTTTTCACAATAAAAGTCTTGTTGAGAAATTAGGGGATTCTGTAATTAAGGCTTTTATTCAACAGATACAGGAAGCGTCGGGTTTGTGTTAACATTTGCAAACTGTAGCAAAAATTAAACATGGAAAACAAGAGCAATTACACACGTTATATGTAAATCTCCTCCAACTATTAAACCCCCCACACACTCTCTTACCCCAGTCATAAAGCTTGGGCTCCATGAGGCTGGCGTGTTCCACCATACAGGTGATTTGTTCTCCAGGTGTGGGCGTAAACTCCAGATAGGAGTGAATCTGGTAGAGCCAGTTCCCATTGGACATTTTCTCAGTGGACATTACACCGAACGGCATCTCCTGTCCATTCTTCAACCACGTCACCCTGATCTGTTTAGGATAAAAGTTGTACGCACTGCAGACGAGCATGCCTGGATGTCCACTGCTCGCTGCCTCAACTGACCTCAGCCTGACCGAGGGCTCGACTAGAAATATGACGCAAAAATATTAATTTAAAATAACAAATCCCTTTATAATTAATTTGATGTAAGTTGCAGTTTCCAATGTTTTCTCGAACTCACCTGGCTTCAAAAATACATTACATGAGCGAGCGATGTGGTTTTTGCAATGCTCTGCCATTCTTCTCTGTTGTGCCATAATTACAGGATTTTTGTTGTAGGTATCTGCAATTTCCTTTGCTCTCTTTGTGTTGCCAGTGAACTTTCCCAAAGTGCTGTTGTATTGCCCAAGGAAGATCTTGTCACCGTAGTACTGCTCCAGGTAAACAGCATCACGACCTTCGTTGGAATTAAACTGACATTGTGTTATTGTGTGAACGAAGAGAGAATCTGCAAAATAAAGTGGACAATTAGTTCTTGTTATAGTTTACTTTGATGAATACAGCTGGCACAGACAAAACCTGCCCGACTAGATCTAGAACAAAAACAAAGTAGACAAGACGTAACACTGCTGTTTACTATCTGTTATACACATAGGTTAAGATTGTTGAATGTAAAATCAGAAGTATAATACATGTAAGTGATACAGTTATCTTAATGTCAGTGAATTAGCTTAAAGAAATCTTGATGGCACAAAACTTCCTGTTTCTGCCTGAACATTAGCTCCCTTTGGTTTGGTTACATAATGTCTTTGTACTGGTATGAATAACAACACAAACAAAACAACCTCAACCTGAATTTTAATGTTACTTACCCCCTCTAGAAAATGAGAGTAACAGCAGCAGGAAAGAAAAGGAAGCTAACATCAGGTTTGTTATCATGTTACCGGGACAAAAAAAGTCAACTCAAGCACAGGAAGAAAGATAAATGCATGTTGATTCAGCATGAGGAAGTTAATTTGTGGTTATAAACATCACTCCTAGGTGTGGCACTCCTGTGAGGCATTTTTCTTACTACTAACTTTCTAAGTTTTATAATAAAACAACAATCATTAAAATTACAGTATATTTACCATGTAAATTACTGTGGTGGTTAATTTAGCGTTTTTGTTATCTGTAGGGATCTATTTTGCCTGAATTAGGCAATTAAATCTGTAACATACAGTACAAAGGTAGAACTTTGTGTCATTTTGTGTCTCTCAAACAAAACTTCTGTAATCTGAATAAACTATAAAACATTTAATTATGTAGTTACTTGTATAATATTCTGCTATAATTTTAAAAAGGAAAAACTAATGTAAAATCAGCTCATTCTCTGGATAACGAAAACACAACTATTCTTATTTTCAGATTGATTACACCCTAATGAAAACATGCCTATGAACATGTATTCAGTTTCTGCCAGTGCATCCTCCAAAATGTTACACAAGGTAGTAAGAAACATGATAACGCTGGAATAACCTCTAATCACACACGTTCATTGTTTATCTAGTTATGTATTCTATCCATCTTTTCTTGTGGTGTGTCTTTGTTTCTCATGATAAGGTTTGTGTTTCTCATGCGTTTGCACTCAGAGTAGACACACCGATCCTTTACAGCTTGCCTGAAAAGTCCAGCTGGAATCACATTTAGTCATCCTTTTTTGCAGACAAAAATAATGTCCTTATGTATTGTTAATAGCATTTTACTATTTAAAAAAGATTATTATATTATATAAAAGTCTGAAATACTACAACAACTTTCACATTTAAGTCTTCAGACCTTTATTGTCATTGACAGCAACATGTGTAAATATGACAATATTAACAATGACAAATACATTTACTACAATATTAGTACTGCAGAGAGAGTTTTTGATCATCTGAACACCAGAACATTTCAGAGGTTAGTCAACCCATTTTATGGAAAATAAACTCTTTTAATATATCAGAATTTATACAATACAAAAGAAAAATTCAGAATATTTATACTCTAATATATCTTACATTTTATAACAGTAACATCGCAACACAGATTATTCCTGTAGATATTGTATACCTATATGAGCCTCCTCAAGCATTGAGTAAAGCTCTTTCAATAGAGAACTGTGTGATTTTTCCTTATTATTCACTTGATCCGCTGCCATTTCACTCAGATGATACCACAGTCGTATCATTTCACATTTTGTGCTTGTAATACAAATCTTAGCTTGTTGGCACCAACATCCGCCCTAGAACGAAAACAGAAAGAAAAACAAAGTCACACATAGTGAATTCTGAGTCACTATTATTTGGTGTTGTGTTAAAAACTAGACAGAAGCTCTTGTCAAAGCTTCCAAGTGCTGCATAATTCTGATGGACTAAAAATGATCACAGGTGTGTAATGTAAAAGCTTTTTTAAGGTGGTATCACGTAGTGTATAATGGCAGTAAAAGGAAAATGTTCTGTTTGTGTCTTTGCAGTATTAAATAGAACCTGATCATTTCTTTACTTTACAGTCTAAAGATAACTTTATTTTGTTGATTTTTTTGGTTAATGTGGTCCTGTCTCTCACCAATAGTGTTCTTCTTGTAGTAAATCAGCCCAGTAACTAAAAACACCAGACCCAGCAGCAGCCCTGATGTCCCGACAGCGATCTTGTTCGTCACTGACTCAGGCTTCGGCTCTGAAAACCCATTTATCACAAACACTGCATTAGATCTCTGTATTGTCCATATTATTACAATAAAATATTTTTTTATTGATAACAGAATGAGGTCCAAGAAAGATTTTTCCTCGGTAACATTTAAGTTAATCTACAGTTAAGTCACCTCCTGTCACTCTCTTACCCCAGTCATAAAGCTTGGGCTCCATGAGGCTGGCGTGCTCCACCATACAGGTGATTTTCTCTCCTGGTCTGGGTGTAAACTCCAGATAGGAGTGAATCTGGTAGAGCCAGTTCCCATTGGGCAGTTCATCAGTGTACGACACATCAGATGTCTCCACCTGTCCGTTCCTCAGCCAAGTCAATCGGATCTGTTGAGGATAAAAGTTGTACGCACTGCAGACGAGCATGCCTGGATGTCTGCTGTCCACTGCCTCAACTGACCTCAGCCAAACAGACGGCTCGACTAGAGTAAAGAAGCACAAAACAAGTTATCGTGAAATAATGCACAAATAATGTTGAATGTTTCTGTAACACAAGATTACAGCCTGTAAATATTTTGGTATATATGACAAACCAACTGAATATTTACTGGGTACCAGGATAAAGAAAGGGGACTTAGAAGTATAGTGTATTTTAATAGCCTACAGTGTACATTACATATTTAAATTATTAGTGGTCATAACTTATTACTTAGTAATAAAAAACCTTAAATAATATCATTAATATTACAGTAAGTATAATATAATTGTGAAAGCTACCAGGCGTGGTCACCAAAAATACCTGATTTTGAAAGAAGGTCTACTATAATTGGGATGTTGGTTTTGCATGTTGCTTCATTCTTCACTGCTTCTCTCATAAAAGCCTGGTTTTTGTTGAGGTCCTCTGCTACTTCTTGTGCTTTCTCTGTGAAGCCGACATATTTTCCCAAAGTGCTGTTGTATTGACCCAGAAGCACCTTATTAAAGAAGATCTGCTCCAAATAAAAATGATCATGAGAGGCAGTAAACTGGCAATGAATCACAGCGTAACCGAAGATAGCGTCTGTAACAGAAAGCAAACAAGTATAAGATGATGTATAAAGTTGCATTGTCTTGTTTATGATCTATTCTCAAACACTCAGTATATCTTGTCAATGTGCCGTGTTAAGCAGCAACACAATTAAACAATGTCAAAGGTTTTTCTTTTAATGTTACCTACCTGCCCTTGAAAATAACAGGAACAGACAAAGCAGAGGAAAGAAGCTGCAAATACACATGGTGGTAAACGAGAAATACAAATTCAAAATCAGAAGTAACTTATTCCTCTGAGAGTATGAGGAAGTAAAGCAGCAGAATGCTTGACAGTAAGCTGCATGTAGGTGTGGCACAAAATATGTGCCATTTATCCACAGAAATTTCTCTGCCTGTTACAAGCAGGTTGAAAGTGTTATTTGACACCACTCATTCACCTTTATTGTATTATTATTATTATTATTATTATTATTATTTTTACTTCAATTATTGAAGTGATTTGTAATTTTACCTCAGTATTAATGGATGAACTGATTCATTTGTCAAGTATTTTAATTAATCTCAAATTAAAGCAGCTTCAACTATGATTACACAAAATAGTCATTAGTGCTTACTGTGGAGTAAAAAAGCATTCATTGAGCATATTTAGTTACACACACATATATATAAAGTGATTTTATACCTTTGTCCAGTGGTGGGTGACGGTCTGATAATTTACTTAAGCAACCATTACAAGTAAATGTGATCAAAAGTAAATGTACTCATTATGCCGCAGAATGGGCCATTAATGGATTTTCATTATTGATGCAATAATAGTGTAAGAAGAAGTGTTTAAGATTTGTAGCTGGTGGAGGAGAAGCTTATTTTACTGTAACCACCTTTTGTACTGTTGCAGGCAGTTTAATCTTTAGTAATGCGTCATGTTTTATAATCTAATCATGTGTTTGTGAAATTTAATCAGTAAAGTAAACTAACCATAGCGGTCAGATAAATATAGTGGGAAAATGTCTCCTTCTGAAATGTAGTGGAGTCAAAGAATAAAGCACAATCACCCCAAAACTGTAGTTCATAATAAAATACATAAAGTACATTTTCACTGCTGTTTTTTATTTGAGGACAAGAAAAATATTGCAGTCAACCATCATGTGCTTTCTTAGAGATATAATTTATTCTCATTCATGCTTTGCCTTTGATTACAGGAGGTAAATGTCATGTTCACCACTGTGTACTACATTCAGTCATTTTAATTTATATCTCCTGCAGGAGCGAACCCCAGTAAATCACTTTTCTTCTATAATTTAAAACTACTGCTCACCAAAAACCAGATCTCACCCATGTGGATCATACTGGAACATACTGAAAACTGCCCTCTGCTCCTTTGCACTTTATAAATGGAATAAATTACATATTATTTTAAAACTAAAATGTCTTATCTCACTGGCTGATTTTACATTTTTAACATCACGTCTATTTAATGATATCTGTGATGTGTTATATTGTTGTACTGAGGTCACTCTTGCAAAATAGATCTTAATCTCACTGAGATTACCTGAAACTGAAAAATAAAAAAGGATATTTTATACAAAAGTAAAATAATATTTTGTATTGAGTGTATAAACCTCAATATTCTTAACATATATCAAGGTTACAGATAACAGTGAACCTGACAGACAGCGTTACATGGTAATGTTTGAATTAAAACACTAGAAGGCAGAACAGAAACACCAGTGAATTAAATATAAGAGAAATTAGATAAAATATTTAATTCAGACCATAAAGCTCTTTCACATTCAATGTGTAAATCAAAAAATGCTTCTTGTAATAAAAAGTAGATAATTTTATTTCCTCATTTTAGACAGTACGACACTATTGTAAAGACAAAAGTTGCAGATGCAGATTCTCTCTCGATCGCAACTTAATGCAAATTCAACCAGTCCCTGTGAATTCTGTGTGACCTTGAAATTTTGTCCAATCATTACAACTTTTCTGCAAATTTGACTTCACTGTAGATGATCTATTGGGATCATCTCTGTAGAACAGAAATTACTGTCCATGGTGTCCCTTAACCATTAAAAATGTTCCACCTGCAACTCCCAACAAGCCCACAGTCAGACCCAGCACACAGAAAATATCTGGTCCAAGACTGGGAGTAGTCGATTCGTGTTCTGTGAAGGAACGTAAGAGAATATGCATCATTACACACACAAAAAACTGTATAACAAAAAATCATTGCAGTATTTTTATTTTTAAGTGCCCTCATGAGGTAAAACACTCACCCCAGATCCTTGTCATAGGGCTCTCCAGGGCTGAGTGCTCCACAGTGCAGCTGTACATGTCGCCCNNCAGGGTTGAGAACTGGTGGAAGGTTTGATCATTATTGGGATAATATCGGCTGAGTGACACCCCCTCAGACACCGGACGGCCATTTTTGGTCCAGCTGACTTTAATATCAGGTGGGTAGAAATGATTCACAAAGCAGGTGAGGCTGTTTTTAACTCCAAACTGAACTTCTTCTGCAGGGTAGAGGATGCTCTCAGGGGGGTCTGTAGTGGGTCAGCAGACGTTTAAATACCTTTATCAGCATTTTATTAACCCTGCATTTTCTCTACAGAGGTAAATGTTGAGGTTAAACTCACCTTTCTCCTCTGGTGGGTTCTTCTCCTGTACCTTTAGCAATTCTACAAGTGGTTTACACGCCCTCTTGGCTTTCATAGCATTGTTATACACATGCATATTCTCAAATAATTTAGTTGGGTCAAGCACAACAAATCTGGGCACAGTGTATACAACCTCTTGTCTTTCGAAATCCACGTATAAAACCTCCTCGGCGTCAAATTCAAACTGCACTTCAGTTGTCCCATTCTCAAAGCACCCCACTACATAGCTGATGTCGTGGGGAACTGAAAAACAACACAGTGGAAATTAGAAATTTTTTAAATGTATTGGCTTGGATGTATTTATCCAACTAGAACTTAGAATTAGTAGTTGTAGTACATTTTAAACTCATTCTTACTTTGAGAAAAGGTGTAGAAGATGTTGAGCAGCAGGATTAATGCAGATCTCTTGGCCACCATCACTGAAACTGAACAAATATGTTCTCTCTCCTGCCAGCCCGAACTTCACACATAATCACATGACCACGTCATGTGCAAAACAGAGTTACTGGAACAAGATAGATATCATTACAAACCTGCATTGACGTACTCATGAGTTACCAGAAGTACTGGACTATTTATCTAAATAAATATAAATGATTTTTTTGGTAAAAATAGAACTTGCTTGGCCACAGTTCCTTGTTATGTAAACGCTGACGGGAATACAGCAGTCCAACCAGTTTGGCAGGAGAGAGATTATAAATTTAGGAGTCAAAGCTTTTGTGTGAGGTTCAATGGTTACTTGCCATGGGAGTCCCAAATAACAATGTTTTGAAGCCAAGCAGATCTTGATTTTTGGTCAGGATTATAGGTATAAGTAGGAAGGAAGTAAAACAAGTCAAAATTAACAGAAAAAAACACCACCAAAAGATAAAAAAGACAAGAACTAAAAGTCCACTCTGGAAATTCAGCTGGAAATTAAGAATAAGGTATTTCATTGTATAAAAATATGACAAAAAACGTATTTGTGCTGGAGGGATTGTACGAAGGTTGGAGATCACACACACACACGTCATGCTGGGAAGAGATTCATATAGAAATAGTGGCCATTTTGAACATTGATTTACCACATTATATAAATATTCATATATTATATATTATAATATATATTATATTATATACAGTTGTGTAGTGCAGCTTCTATGATCATCATTCAGTAGTGGTCTGCCAACTGAATTGAGCTGTCCAATTTTACTCCACTCAAAATGCATAATTACTGTATGTAGTTGTCTCACGCCTGTGGGCCAGTATTCATACTTCTGTGGCTGATGTCAATGTCATAATAATCCATAAAAAGTCAAGCAGCAAAAGGTAAGTGACGATATATAAATGCTACTGGCACAGTTTATAACAGGGTGTTTATCAATTGCTGAATTGGACCACTTTAAAAACTAAATCTGGGGCATAAATGAAGAGTATGCACATTTCTCCAGGTACTACACCACTGATTATTTGAGCAATACCAGATGGACCAATGGAAAAGAGAAAAGATTACTTGTTGCACATCATTTTATTGGTTGCAAACAAATGATACATTTTTCTTGGCTCAAACCACTGCTACAGATTAATAAAAGTGTATTTAAAGGAAAAAATTAACTCAAAACTCCACATAAAGACAGATATATGTTTTTCAATTATTATTTTAAAGTATTTTTGTTTATTTATTTTTGTTTTTTGGAGAATATTCTCTAAGTTGATGCACTTAATGCTGTGATTTTTTATCTTTTTTGTTGTTTGTTGAACTGTATTAATAGTTAATTTTCTTTTCTTTTTTGTCTTTATGTGACAAAGCAGCTGTGTATACTTCAAAAGTGCATAAATATAAATAAACATTTTGTAGATAAAAAGACAAGAAGACAGTGTCAAAATGTCAAGATGCAGTGTTTCTTAATATCACCCTACAGGAAATGATAACAGGTTTATGATAATACAAAACAAATGTACAACCTGACAGAGTAACTTACAGAGAAATAGGTTACGTTATTTTACACAAAAACTCCCCAGGCAGTTTTTGTCTAATGTCAGAAAGAAGAAAAACAGAGTAAAAGAAATTCTAAGAATTGCCAGTGTTTGGCTGCAGGTGGTAGCTGTGAGCAGGTGGAAGAGGCTGCCTGTTGGTGCAGCTACAGTCACATGATGGAAGGATGGGATGATGGAGGTGAGGAGTAAATGGGACGCCACTCATCCACAGGCAGATGAAAGTGTGCAAAGGCATTTAAACAGTAACAAAATAAATCTAGGACTAACTTAATATTGTTTACAATGTGTTTATCTGACAGGAAAAATAGACCAACGTTTTTGTAAATGTTTTGGGAAGGATAAGACCCATTTAAGAGCTTATAAACAGGAGTCTTACTGACTTAAAATCCTGTCACTAATGATTTGAATGAATTACCATTAAAGACCAACAGTACAACCACTGACTTATAATGCGTTACTCCCTACACAGGTCGAGAAAAGCCTTCAGTGCCGTTGGTTGCTTTTGTTTAAATGAAGAAATACTCTCCAGTTCTGATATAACAGAGGCTAGCAGCATCCACTTACATCTGCAGCAGCAGCCATTGTTGTTTTCGAGCAAACACTTGTCACACGTGTCCATCGCACACATCTCGTAATAAACCACACGCATAGCTCATGTCATAGCTGCCAGTAGTTCCTCAAAGGACGCTGATTGGTTCATAACTGTGTTCGGACACGCATAAAGCACATAAATAAGAGTAGACATACGTCACTTTCTTCTCTTCTGAACGACCACGCCCCCTGTTGGGTGAAACGAGCACTGTAAAAGTGCCTAGAAGCTGCTGTATCAGATTTTGCACATAAAATAACTTTTAAAAGCCAGTTTATGATTTTCTTTACTTTTCTAATCACGAAGGACAATAAATGAGTCAATGAGCCTTGGTTGCTTTTCCTTCCTTGGATCACTTTTGATAGGTACTGACCACTGCCAACCACAGCTGCAGTTTAGGAGATCACAATTTGGCCCTTTTTCAAAGTCGCTCAGATCCTCACTCTGCCCATTTTTCCTGCTTCTAACACATCAACTTTGAGGACAAAATGTTCACTTGCTGCCTAATATATCCCACCCACTGACAGGTGCCATGATAACCAGATAATCAGTGTTATTCACTTCA